TAGAAAACCAAATCCAACAATACATTAAAAGGATTATACACCAGGATCAAACGGGATGTATTCCTGGGATGTAAGGATGGTTCAACACCCACAATCAGTTAAACAGAGTCACCACATTAACAAAATGAAAGATAAAAATTATATGATCATGTCAATACATGCAGAAAAAGCATTTGACAAAATTCAACATTTATGATAAAAACTCAAAGTGGGTAGAGAGGGAAAGTACCTAAACATAATAAAAGCCACACACGATAATCCCACTGCTAATATCAATGGTGATCCTCTAAGAACAGGAGCAAGATGTGGATGCTCACTCTTGGCACTAGTATCCAACAGAGTCCTGGAAGTCCCAGCCAAGGCACTTAGGCAAGGAAAAAACAAGGCATCCGAATCACAAAGATAGAAACAATATTGTCTCTATTGTCAGATGACATGATACTACACACAGAGAACCCTAAAGAATCTACTAATCTAAATCTAAAAAACTGTTAGAATAAATAAATTCAGTAAAGTTGCAGGTTACAAAATCAATATACCGAAATACACTGCATTTCTCTACACTAATAATGATGCATCAGAAGGATAAATCAAGAAAACAATCCCATTTACAACTGCATCAAAAAGAGTAAGATATCTGGCAATAAATGTAACCAAGGGCATAAAGCCCTCTACATTGAAAGCTATAAGACACTGGTGAAAGAAACTGAAGACGCAAATAAATGTAAAGGTATTCTATGATCACAGATTAGAAGAATTAGAAGAATCCCATACTACATAGAGCATGGAGAATGTCCACACCACATCAAGCAATCTACAGATTCAAAGCGATCCCTATCAAAACACCAATGGCATACTTTGCAGGACCAGAATCGTTCTAAAATTTGTATGGAATCACAAAAGATGTCAAATAGTCAAAACAATATTGAGAAAGAACAGAGCTGGAGGTATCACACCCCCTGATATCGCACTATACTACAAACCTATAGTAATCAAAACGGTATGTTACTGGTATAAAAAGAGACACACAGATAATGGAACCGGATTGAGAAACCAGAAATACACCTACACATATATAGATAATTAATGTATGACAAAGAAGCCAAGAACACACAACGGAGAAAGGACAGTCTCTTTGATTAATGGCGCTGAGGAAACGGAAGAACTTCAAAACAAAAAAAACTGCAAAAGAATGGAATTAGACTACTGTCTTACACCATACACACAAACTAACTTAAAATGGATTAAATGCTTGAATGTAAGACCTGAAGCCGTAAAACTGCTAGAAGAAAACACAGGCAGTAAGCTCCTTCATGTCAGTCACAGCTACTGGTTTTTTGAAAGCAAAGGGAACAAAAGCAAAGGGAACAACTACAGCAAAAATCAAAAATCGACAAATGGAACCACATCAAACAAATGCTTCCGCACAGCAAAGGAAACTGTCAGCAAAGTGAAAAGGCAGCCTGCTGAATTGCACACCATATATCTGACTCTCAAACCGTATATCCAATAAGGGATTAACATCTAAAATATGTAAAGAATTCATGTAACTCAAGAACAAAAAAATGAACAACTTGGTTAAAAATGGGCGGAGGATCTGAAAGAAATTTTTCCAAAGACACACAGATGGTCGACAGGCATCTGAATAGGACGCTCGGCACCACTAATCACTAGAGCAATTCAAGTCAGAACCCCTGTGAGAAATCACCTCACGGCAAGAATGGCTGCTATCGAGGAGAAATCAGAGCCATTGGGGAGGATACGGAGAAAGGGGAGCTCTTACCCACTACCACTGACATTGCAAATTGGTGCAAACACTATGGAAACTCACATGTAGATTCCGCAATAAACGAAGAATAGAACTACATTATGACCCAGCTATTCCGTTTCTGGATATTTATCTGAATAACATAAAAACAGTAATTTAAAAAATATATGCATTCTTATGTTCACTGCAGCAGTAATTAAAATAGTCAACATATTGAGTGCCTATCAGTAGATGAGTGAATAAAAAAGATATATTGATACACTGGAATACTACTCAGCCGTAAAATGTAATGAAATCCTGCCAATGGTGACACCGTGCATGAAACCTCAGAGTATTATGTTAAGTGAAATGAACCAAAAGGAGAAAAACAAATGCCACATGATTTCACTCATATCTGAAATCGAAAAACACAAATTGAAGAAACAAAATTAAAACAAACTTAAAACTATCTGAAGCTCCTTTTGCACACTTCTTAAAATCTAGGGGCATCTGGGTAGCTCAGTCAGTTAAACAACTGACTTCGGCCCAGGTCACGATCCCAGGGTCCTCGGATCGAGCCCCACATCGGGCTCCCTGCTCCACTGGGAGTCTGCTTCTCCCTCTCCCTCTGCTGCTTCCCCTGCTTGTGCTTTCCTGTTCTGTCAATTAAATAAGTAAAATCTTAAAAAAAAAAAATTGAAAAAACAAAATTATAACAAACTTAAAAAAAACTATCTGAGACTCCTTTTGCATACTTCTTAAAATGTATTTCAATTTTTTTCCTTATGAAATCACATTAAATCATATTGCCATTTCTGAAGTTTAATAATAGAATAAACAATTTTTTTTCCTGACGCAATGCTTAATCGGTGGTACTCAGCCAGTTAAGCTCATTCAGTACATAAATGCCTGTTCAGTTACTGACCAAAGACAGTTCCAAAATTGAAAATTAAAAAAATGTAAGAAATAGTTCATTTCTTTACGTGATGTCTAAAGATCATTTGGTCTATACAACAGCATATTGGAGAACTCTGGGAGGACGTGATCCAGTGAACTAATGTTGTAAAACAAAACAAAAGGGATGCTGTGGAGGCAAGAGCAAGAAAGGGAAGTCCCAGAATGCCAGTTACACATTAGGCCTAAAGATAACCAGTACATACTGGGGCAGTGTCTACTGAAGGTAGTGGTGAAGGTAGAGGTCTTGGGAGTAAAACAAAGGGGACTCCCTTCTATAGATACTAAATGAGAGAATAGAAAACTTGAGAATGTAATAAAAACATATAAGAAAAATACTGGCAAATAGGAAGGCCAAGCAGTAGCAAATAACCAGAAAATTACAATTTGTGTAATTTTAAGCAGTTGATGGCAATAAGTAGAGAAGCTGATGTTGTGAACGTTTTCCTTTGAAAACTACAGGGGACACAGCACTGTTAATGTCAAAACATAACTCACTAAGAGTGGAAGGAGAACGTTTCTGCTTGTAAGAAAAATGGTTTTTTAAAGAAAAACAGTGTGACCATAATGTGAGTGGACAGCATAAGCTTAGATGACGTAAAACATAAATGGATAGATATTGGCAAGGTCAAAAAGGCCATGATGATAGACATATTCTGAAATTAGGAAATGCACAAATAATTTGGCTCCCCTTTAAAAAGAAAAATGATTAGCTTTAAAAAGAAATTTTAAAGTATCTTTACACAGCACTGTAGGGTAACAGAAAAATAAAACATAAATTATATTGGAAAATGTTCTGCCTCTTAAAATTTTAAACCAAAATTTGTCTTCTTTCTACATTAGAATTTTGTTTTTTAAAGAGAAAAGGGTTTGATGAGAGAAGACAGGAAGGTACTTTGTGCTATTTTACAAAGTAGCTCAATTATTAGAAAACACACAATTGACAAATATTAATTATTATTCAACAAAATAAACTAAGGAAGAAGCACTACTGGTCAGTGTGATAAATATTTTCCACATGTTTTCAACTATTCCTAATACTACCTTTTTGCTCTACATAATAATCCCTTGAAATGGATGCTATTAATTCTAATCCTAACTGAGAAACCGAGGCTCAAAGAGATTAAATTGCTCTAACTCATGGAATGGGGACTTAAACCTAGATTTCTGACTCCAGAGCCCATGACTGATTCAACATATGACTACGTGTCTTTACTGAACACCTGTCATGTGCCTTTTATATGCCCCCAGAGATAAGAGGTAGGAGAAAAACAGGAAGACACAAGCTTCATTAAGTAACTTCAACTATACCAGACAATGAAAGAGTTAACCTAAAGAGAATACAATGCCAGAAAAAAGTTACAGGTAAACAATTCTGTATTCCCCAAACAGGATTTGCAACACATGCCCAATGATGTGGTTTATACACTCTAGGGATGTGCTATTGATGTACTGACGAAATACAGACAAGGTAGCGAAAACATTATTAACAATTTGTCTAAAAAACAAAATCTAATTATTCAAAGAAATCTGGAAAAATGGTGAGCAGTGACTGGATGGTTCATACTTCTACTTTATTAGGCTTTCAGCTTAGAAAGCTTTTTTTTTTTTTATGGTAGTCACGATATTCTTTGCAACCTATTTCCACCATTATTTACATTTTCCCCCATTTTCTGATTGGATGAATGAGCTTAGCTATCTGGAAAAATTATATAGAAGTGCATAGTAAATTAAAATCAAATTACATTCCGGGGCACCCGGGTGGCTCAGTGGGTTAAGCCTCTGCCTTCGGCTCAGGGCATGATCCCGGGGTCCTGGGATCGAGCCCTGCATCGGGCTCTCTGCTCAGCAGGGAGCCTGCTTCCCCCTCTCTCTCTCTGCCTGCCTCTCTGCCTACTTGTGATCTCTGTCTGTCAAATAAGTAAATAAAATCTTTAAAAAAAAATCAAATTACATTCCATTAGAGACTAAACACTAATTAGTCATCTTTTACTTTACCGTGAAAGGATACAGAACACAAGGAAGACAGCACATTTTTCAGCCATCCTGTGGCAGTGCGACAAGAAGTTCTGTGACAAGAAAGACTGCTATGGCCCCCACAGTGGAATGAGCACACCACCACCTTCGTGCTTTAGGCAGAGACACAGTAAGAAAATTCATGAAGGCACACAAATCTCGATCAGTGTTTTACAGTTAAAGCAATGTCATGACTTAGGTTCATAAAATGCTACAAAGTAGAGAAACTATTAACTTAAAATGACTGAATTTCTACACTTCTGAAGAAAATACAGTTACTTACTTTTTTCTCCGGTTTGATTCCACAAAATATTTACGTGCTCGAATTCGACATATTTTTTGTTGCTGCAGTAATATCTGACGCTCTTCTTCTAGATTTTTCTCCAGATGCATTTTCATATCTCTAATGATAGCACAAAGTTAAGGACAACAGCTTTTACCTCCAGGGGATGAGTGTCAGCGCCACCTGATAAATACGACTATGGCCTCATACTAAGGATGCGATGATTTTTTGTGGAACAACTAATCGGTGTACACAGTAGTGTTAGTATGTGACCAGCAAATGTTCTGTGGGAAAAAAAAAAAGCTGATTCGGTATTAGAACTGAAATATATCTCACTTTCCCTGGGGAAAAAAAAATTGTTCTTTTGGACATCATGAGCCCCGATAAGGAGACTGCATATATATCTTCTCATTCATTAGGAACCTCCAAGAAACCTGCTAAATGCAAATCTGATTGGATTTCTCATTCTTTGTTGTTTTCTTAAAGCTCCCTGTCACACTTAGGATAAATTCCAAATCTCCTGACCTAGTATATAAAGCATTATAATCTGGTCTGTATTTTCGACTTCAATTCTCAGCACTTCCCTGCATGAATCCTATGGCCCCCCATACAAAGATACTAACAGAACCAGCCACAGCACATCATGCCATCATCTCCCAGCACAAGCTTGGCCAACTCCACCCGTGGTTCAGGGCCACCTGGAGCAGTTCCCCTCCTCTTTTCTAGGAGAAAACCCTCACTGGATGACCCGACACCTTCATAAGTACATTCTATGAGTACATGTCTCCTCCATATTTCTGTAATTCCAATGCCTGACACCGTGCTTAAAATACAATAATGGCTTAATAAAATGTCACTGAACAATTTCCTTGCAGAAAATTTGCAGTAGATACATAGGACAAAAGATATATGCATTCTTTTATAGCTTTTGGTGACTTATAGCCAAAAATAGGTTTCTAAAAGGGTTATTACAAACTTAGGTCATTAAAAATGCATATATGTTTCAAAACCTCATGAGCATAGGATAGTATTTTTTTCCTAGAAAGACCGTGTAGAAAACCATGTTTTATTATACATGTATTAGCACAATAGACTACTTTCCATGTATGATTACTAATTTTTATTTTCCTCTTTGGTGAGTTGTTAGCTCACAGTCATTGGCCATTCATCTATTGAGAACCTGATGTTTTAAAAAATGAATTTTAATAAATTCAATAGAGATAGTGTAGATATTAATCCTGTTATAGTATTAAATATTTTTCCCAGATCATTATATTTATACAATTTCTCCTTCCACTAAAGTTTTAAACTAATGAGTCACCATTGAAACATTTTTCCCTTAAAATTTCTCTCCTTTCAAAAGCTAAACTTACTATACCTTTGAACACATGAAAAATATGAAATTCTATTTTCTGTCAGTATTCTTTTACAATTTCATATTTACATTTTATTAGCTTAATTTTGGAATGTGTACCAACTGTGACTCAAAGTAGAGATAGTGAATTTAGACTACTCTTTTTTCTGAATATGGAGACAGGAGATACTAGAATAAAGTTAAAAGGGTTCTTATGATCAAAGGGTTTGACTGTTAGTGTAGTTCATTTTAAGGATAGCCAAGACCTGAGTGTGTTTTTAGGCTGGAGGGAGAGAATGCCATTATAAGTTCAAAGTAAATTATAAAGTGGGACAATTTATAATCTGGGGGTACAGAGGAAGGGGAAAAAAGGTTGTATTAATAAGACACAGGGGAATAGACTCATCTTCTATAGTAAAAGTGATAGCCCATCAGTGAGCTTAGAAAAAAAGATGGGGTTGGGGGCAGGGAGTGGTGGTTGGTAGTATGTGGATTTGTGTTGTTTGTGAAGAGGGACCTGAGAGCCTTCCTGGTGTCCGTTGTCTCATGATGTACTAAGACAGTCTACTGAGAGCTGCGGGAAATGATAAAGATCTGGCACCGGCATTAAGAGGCACAGCAGAGATCCCTATTCCTGTTCAGGGAAAGCTTGGAAACCATGCATCTGAGTGAAGCCAGTCTGTATTGTTTCGTGGTTTTTCTCTGACAGCATTTTTATTACTTGAGTGAAGGAGCAGAGAAGGACTCTGTAGTTTTTGGGTGGTTGAAGCAGAGGAACAGGGGTGCAAAGGACCAAGGATGTGGGTGGGAGAACATGTGCAGGTCATCAAAAATAGGGAACAAACCAGGTAGAAAAGGGACAGGCAAGGTGTGTGCTCAAATAAAATGAAGGGGAGAAGAGGAGATATTTATGAGAAAAAAGAGGCCCAGTGTGAAGGGAACATGAGAGATCTTTCACATTTTGTTAAAGAAAAATTTATTCTATTTCTATTCTAGATTGAAATGAAATTTAGTTAATTTTAATTGGATGAACTTGATAGGGTTTTGTTCTTTCATAGTCTTTACAGTCAGGGGATTCTGACTCGAGAAAGAAAACATCTTCAACAGAAAGCCGGATGGTCTCTGAAAATTGGATTCATATTCAGAAATTACATGTAGAAATTTTACCAAGGCACTTACTTATTTCATGACTAAAGTTTTTTTCATTTTTTCTCCCCCCATTTAGTTATTTGTGCAATAAATCTGAGCTCCTACTCTGTAACAGGCATCCAGCGGAAAACCTCACAGACACTAAGAACATTCAAATACTCCCAAAAGGTACTTAAGTGTTTTTCCATTTAGTAATATGATATTCTTGATTTAGTGTCATAGCCCTTACTATGTTCAAAAAGAATTCCTCTATCCCAATTTAAACGTCCATAGATATATTTTACGTATAAACTGGCAGATGGATATGCAGGTACATATGTACGTGTATTATATACACAAACACGTATTAGCAGAACTTGTTGGATTTCATTAACGCCTCTCGGGCGTCTATTGAAATAGCCATTTACAACTTGCTTACTTTTAACCACAGATGTAGCATTTAGGTGTATTTGTAGTAATGTATTTCTTTACAAGAAACCATGATTACAATTCTGGAATTAATGTTGGGTTTTGTTCCTTTGAGATGCTACTAATTCTATTCACAAATATTTTCTCTGATGTTGAGCCAGTGTTCTTACTACATAAATTTAAAAAATGAAGTCTATGACCATTTCATTCCTGACCCTGTCAGTGAGCCATCGACCCTGCTTCCCTCCTTTCCAGTTCAGACTAAATCAGGGTCCGCGTAGCAGGGATTCAGTGCGCATGAGAATACAGTGTCAGGGGAACAAGATCAAATCCAAACGCAAGGATCCCATTTACTTCAGAACACACGTCTGAGCGCGCAGCTTTGGGGACCAGCATGGGCCGGCAGGAATGATGATGGCTTGACGAGAGGCCCCGGCAGCTCCGACCACACCTGCCGTCCTCACTGTCACGGGGTCCGCACCCCAGAACCCAGCGCAGCGCGGGCCCGAGCCCGCACCGGCTGTCAGAGCCCCTGCTCCGTCGCAGTGAAAGCGCAGCCTCTCAGAACCCGGGGCCGAGCGCGGGGGCGGGGTTGGGGGGAAGGGGTTGGTTAGGGGCACCGGCAGAGCCGAGACAGAAGTCCCCGCACTCTGCGGCGGGAGCGAGCGCGGAGTCACCGCCGTCACCGCCAGTCCCGGCCCCGGGCAGCACCCACGCGACTTGTCACCGTCCTAGCGTCCTCAGAAGGGGGACACACGCTCGCATGTTGCGCACACCGAACTCTTTCCTGCTGAGCCCTCTGCGGCGCAGCCGTGGCCGCTCCCACCGGGCTGCAGCTCGCGCTGGGGAGCGCGGCCCCGCACAGCCGGACACCCACGCCGCGAACCCACCGCTCTGCGAAAGAACCGGGCTGTGCTAGCTTAACCTGCTAACTGGGACTCTCGAAGGGCAGGGAGACGCTGCACTTGGGGGATTCTTCCCTCCCCGCCGCACGGCGAACCCGGGGGTGCACAGAACACGGCAGCGCAATGCCGGTCGGTACCCCGACGTTCCAGGACATCTAGCTGCGACGCCCGGCGCGGGGCAGGACACCCCAGTCGGGATGGAGGGACGGGCTCACGGACCCGGGCGGCGGGGTGGGGTGGGGGCGCGCACGGACCCGGCCGGGATGGGTAGGGGGGCACCGGGCTGGACGGACCCCGACGGCGGGATGGAGCGGGGGCCCGGCGCGCACAGAGCCGGGCGGCTGGGTTGGGGGTGCGAGAGCACAGACGCGGCCGGGACAGGGGCTGGGGACCGGCGCGCGTGGGCCCGGACGGCGGCGGGGAGGGGGCGCACGGGGCTGACGGACCCGGCCGGCGGAGGAACGGCGAACCCCACCGCCCGTCCAGCCCCACGTCCGGGCCCCCAGGGCGCGAGCGTCCGCCGCCCAGGCCACCACCTCGGCCACCACCCCCGGGAAGGATACAGGTCGGCGGCAGGCAGGCAGCGCCCGCGGCCCAAGCGGGGGCTGAGGGGGGCTCCGTCGCGGGCGTCCGACGACTCGGGGCCCCGTCCAGCGACCACGCTCCGGGCCCCAGGCCTCCAGGCCAGCATCCTTCACCTCAGCATCGCCTCCCTCATGGCAGCCCCGGCGTCCTTCGCTTCCCCCCTCCACTCCGTCCCTCAGGCCTCGCGTCACGGGCGCGGAGGGGTTGGCCGCGTCGGTCCCGGTTTCCGTGCAGAAGCGGTGGTGGCTGCGGTGGCTGCGGCGGCAACCTTGCCCGGCACTGGCGGAGGGGGCGGCAGCGACCCCGCCGCCGCCGCCGCCATCTTGGCAACCAACGGACGCCGCGTCCTTGGCGACGGAAACCCGGGCGCGGGGGCGGGGCGGGGCAGGGCGGGGCCAAGCGCAGGGCGGCCAATAGGCGGCGTGGGCGGGGCCCGGCCTCGCGGGAACGAGTCTGCGCAGCAGCCCCGAGCGGCGTGGCGTGCGGGTTTCCCGGCTGAGTCCTTACTCCCTGGTGCCGAGGGTGTTGTGCGGCTGTCGAGCGGTGGGAGGGTTGCCGCGGGGGTCGTTCAGGGTAGGAGGGTAGGGATTGTCGGTGGGACCACCGAAGCTTGTGGGGTTCGAGCTGGGGGTCTTGGGGGGCGTCCGGATCCCCAGACACCGCCCCTCCCCCCGCTTGATGGGCCGCTTCCCTTGCTCTGCGTCCGCGCACCGGCCCCTCCGCGGTCTCTCTCTTGCCTTGTCCCTGCCCCCACTCGCGACGGGGCCTGCCGCGGCTGCAGGATTCGGACACAGCCCGTCGTCGCGTCGGCGGTCTGTTAGGAGTCCGTATTTAAGTCGGAGATCCCCGGGGGGTGCGCCCACGCACGGGCGCAAACCCGGGGACTTCCGAGCCGTCCGCGTAATGGCTTTGCAAGCGAAAATCTGAAAAAAGGCTGAAAACTGTGGTTGGAGCTCAATAGGAAATTACATATAAATCCCGACTGTGTTTCAGCCAGGTGTGTGTGTGTGGCGGGGCGGGGGGGGGGGGGGGGGGGGGGACTCCCGGATTGGAAGCAGAACGCACAAACCCAATAAAAATCGCTCGCGCAGCATTGAAATGTCTCTGCCTTTGTGAACTAATTTCATTTTTAGAGGTCAAATAAACTTTCCCGTTGAAACTATTTAAAACAGATTTTGCAAAGTTGGATGCAGTGACCCAGATTGAAATGTCATCTGGTGACAGAGATTTTAAAGTACCACAACATACCCAGTTTTGATTGAACGCACAAAGCACATACTCAGGACAATGCCAAGAATATAGAATATATAATTTTGGCAAAGAAAGGCTAAATGTGTATACACAGACCATTAGCTATCTTGGCAAATTTTAGACCGGCCTAGCCATGGCGTTGACCTTGATTCTGTTCCTACTGTTCTCTAGGGCGTCTTTCAATCAGAGTAAGAGAAGCCGGCACTGCCAAGTGCACGCAAAAGTGAGAAGACCGGATTTGCTGGTGAGAGCAGTTAGGCATCGAGCTTTCACTGTCTTATTAGTTGGGCATTTTGTAATTACCAAGCACCTTCTTGGTTTGTTGCATGGACTGTTAGCATTAAGAAGCATGTCTTGGTTTCTCAAATGCCTAGAAATGTTCATTCATATTAATTATCCTTCATTCAAATGTTGCTTTGCAATGGTGACCAAGAAAAAGATAAATTTTAAACACAATGTTGTTAGTTTTTTTAAATCAGTATGTTTTCTTTTAAACCTTTCAATTATTTCTTCAAAATATTAATCAAGTTTCCACATTTATTTAAGTTGTATAGTCCTAGATTTAAAAAAAGAGGGTTTAAGATTAGATATTTGGACAATAGATAATTTGAGGCATTTGTAAACTTATTCTCTTGATAGGAAAGTCAAGTATGATTCAAGCAATAAAAAAAGAATGTTACGCTAAATCTCTATTTTGTCAGGAGACATCTGAATTGAGTATAATGCTTAATTCTTTTGTACTTTAAAACCACAGTATAACACTATGTATATGTTAAATAATATTTTTATTTTGTAAATATTTTATTCATTCTTTTATAACATATATAATTCATTCTTCTGTTAAGGAAATGTATATTGAGCATCTAGAATGTGCCAAAGACTTTCTAGCTGCTGGGGATGCAGTGGTGAACAAAACTTCAAAATCCCTATGCTCATGAAGCTTGTATTCATTTTTCTCTCTCCCCTCCCCCCAGAATATATGAGGTAGTGAAAAGCACTCTGAGGAAAAATGGAGAACTGTAGCGGGCTAGAGACTGATAGAGTTCTATTTTAGCGATGGTGCTCAGGGAAAGCCTCTGAGTAAAGGAAATTAGGGCAGAGTCTAAATGAAGAAAGAGGCTGCCATTCAGAGAGTCGGATGTAGAATATTACAGGCAGAGGATGCTGTTGGCACAAAAGGCTCCGAGGGCAGAATTATATTTGCAGTGTTCATAGAGCAGCAGGAAGACACCATCTAGAACAGGGTGAGGGAAGGGAAGTATGCTAACACACGAGATTGGAGAACTGCTTTGGGGATGTACCTCAGGTTTAGCGGGGACTGATACGGTATTCAAGGAATCAGTGTAAAATCCAACCTCAAATGAAGAGGAAGCCCTCGGAGAGTTTTGAGCTGGAGCACAATATGACCTAAGTTAACCTTTAGAAAGAATCCCTCCAGCTACTGTAGGGAAGCTTAGACCATCGTTGATAAGACTAGACACGATGAGGCTAGTTTGAGTGTTGTTATAGTAGGTGAGAGATAATGGAGGCTGGGAGTAAGATGATGGTAATTGAGGTGCTAAGAAGTGTTCAGAATTTTATTTATTTTTAGAGATTTTATTTTTATTGGAAAGAGAGCAAGCATAAGTGGGGGGAGGGGTAGAGGAAGAAGGAGAAGCAGGCTCCCCACTGAACCAGAAGCCCACGGGAGGCTCTATCCCAGGACCGCGGGATCACGACCTGAGCCCAAGGTAGTCACATAACCGACTGAGCCACCCAGGCGCCCCAGAAGTGTTCAGAATTTTAAGCCTTGGGCTGGTAAGAGGTGTTGATGAATGGTTGTGGCAAGGGGGTGAAATGGTTGTGTTTCATGTGAGTGAAAAAAGAATTAAATGTGACTTTGTGATTTGGGGCTGGACCAATTGGATGAAGGGTACTGCCACGTACTGAGATGGGGAGGAACAGGTTGAAAGTGGAAGGAGTAAGATTTGGGCTTCAGACATGAGCTAGGGAGGAGATGCCTAGTAGACATCTAAGGTCATTAACACGCCTCATAAATTGTTAGCGATGTTCTGTTTACAAAAGAAACAATAATAACCCCTTTGTGGTTACAAAGCATGTCCATATAACTTACCTAACTCGAATACTGTGATAACCTTGTAAGTTATGCAAAGCAGCCTGTGAGGGACCATTTTCTGAGCTTTCACTTTCATCTTGGCTGAGACCAATTTTTTTCCATCTTCTGCTGAAGTATTTTCTTGCTCCAGTAAGAATTTCCTGGATTTGTTTCTGGGAAAGCTATGAAAGGACAAAGAATTTTAACATCTGGCTGATTTAAAATTACAAAATCCTGCCATATTCATTACAGTTTCGTAAGACTTCAACCACAGATTAAAGCTAAGTGCTCATCAACGCCTCATACAGATTATAAAGGTCATTGATGGTGTCATTAATGTTAGAACCGCATTACAGATCAAGTCAAATGGTAGGAATAATGGTCACCCTGCTTTCTCCCAGGTACCATGCTGAGTGCTTATGTATGTTAAATCACTGATTCCCCAGCATAAACCTCATTCTACAAAGGAAGTAGTTAAGCCATAGTGACATTAGATCTTTGCTCAAGATCCCAGAGCAAAGGCGTGGCAGAAACAAGATTGGAACCCAGACAGTTGGTCTCAGAGCCAATCCTCCCAGCCACTTCAGGCTGTCCCCTGGAGAAACTGTGAGAGTAAGAGGAAGAGCATTTGGGTGTAATAGTGGGTGGTGAAGAAGGACCATCAGAGAATACATAATTTTTTGAAGATTTTATCTTATTTTTTATTTTTATTATTTATTTATTTATTTATTTTTTTAAGAGAGAGATCACAAGTAGACAGAGAGGCAGGAGAGAGAGAGAGAGAAGGAAACAGGCTCCCCAGTGAGCAAGAGAGCCTGACGTGGGACTCGATCCCAGGACCCTGAGATCATGACCTGAGCTGAAGGCAGAGGCTTTAACCCACTGAGCCACCCAGGCACCCTGTTTGAAGATTTTAATTCATTAATCAGCATGGGAGTGCTGACTGTGCCGGTCAGCATTATCAGCCCCAGAGACACTATGTGCCGTTGGTGCCCAGTAGTTCTCCGTCTGGGAAAGGGAGTGGAGAACGTAATATCTGGAACAGGGAGCAAGACTCAGGAAAGGTTTGGATCATTTTATTTTATTTTAATATAGTGAATATTGAGGCGTGTGTATATAATGAAAAGAAGGAATCATGAAAGGGGGTTCTTGGGGACTCATTACCTTCATTGATCTATTAGCTCTCAGAGAGCGGGAATTTTCAATAATAGTTCCCTGACATTCAGAGTTTCTGAAGTTTTAGTAACACAGACATAAAACATACAAATCAGAGTCCTAGATATTTGGCATTTATGTGATTAATATGACCATCACTGATAGCTAAATTCAGGGAGAAGCTTGCTTTATACTGAGTTAGGTGTCCAGGATGTCCACATTGATGAAATTTCTGCTTAGTGTTTTGTAAAAACAATTTCAATATAACATTCTTCCTACTCCATCATTCATGTCTACTTCCTTACTATTTTATGCAAACTGGTTTACAATTATTGAGGGATATTTTATCAAAGGTGTTTTTTTTTCCAAAACCCCCCAAAACCCAACTCATAAACATTAGATGGGCTTATAAATTCATGCTTTATCTATTAGCTTATTTACCTAGTTATTGCCTGTATTCTAACAGCAGGCATACTGTCATTAAAAAAAAGGTTGGTATAACTTGAAAATGACAGGATCCCTACAGGCTACCTTGTTTTTCATACGAAGGGTGTTGTTTCAAACGAGGGCATGGAAACCAGTAAGTATTGGCTTCTGTTTTTGTTGAACACCTTCCAGAAGGTTTTAACTGCAGACTCTATGCACTGCAGCTCTTTCCACAGAGAGCGGACTGATACTTGAAGAAGTTTTTCATTTCTCCAAGAAGAATACGATGTATCTTCCTCAAGCTTCACTTTTATTCTTAAATACATTTATTTTTATTTGTGGAGAAGTTACACAAGGTAACCGTGTACATCATTCTACGGTAAGAATTTCAGCAATATTGTTTTAGCTAGCAAGTGTGATTATATTGTTTTCAAGATATACTAGAAGTTTGAATATAATTGTGGAAAAATTAAAGAGTTTAATTAGAAATGCTGAGACGGCTTAAATGAGATTATTTTTAAACTTAAGAAACCATAAACTGAGGACTGACACTTAACACATGGCTAATGAAAAAAATTTTAAAGAAATTATAGACTTAGGTTAAAAACTAGCCAGCAACTTTTGGGTTAACTGTGATAAGAAACTATCTGATAGGTAATAAAAAATTCAGTTTGCTATTTTAAAAAATGAGTATTTTATAAACATTTGTATTTTAAATACAGCCTTGTGAACGGTTACCTAGGAAATTAGAAACTTATTTAAAACAATGTCACTGTGAGAGCTAATAAGGTGTACTCAGTACTCTGGTAGATGGGGATTTGAATCTGTACATATTCAAATATTGGTTTATAATTTTAAAATGTTATACAATGTATTTACCATAGTATAAATACGAAATCCCAAAGTTCCAAGGTTGAAGAAAGAATAAATTTTAGGAAAGCCACACAAAATATCATGATTCCCTAAAATACTAAAAATTTAAAAACCTTATTTCGATCTGAAAAAATGTGGTTGTCACCCACGTGTTTGAAAACATCTATATGCCAGTTATTACAGGAGGAGAGGGGAAAGAGCAAGAAGTTAAAAATAGGTCAATGTAACAAAATGGCAGCGTCTTTTTGGGACAAATATCTTCTATAATATGATTAGCTCTTTACCTTTTCCTCAATATCCAGGTCAAAGGAAGGTAAAGCTTGTTACTATTTTCTTTTAATAGCAGTTATTTAAATCTGTGTGACTTCTACCAAAGAGTTCTTTCATATTGGAAAACCACTATTTACCAACAGAAATAAATACGTTTGGAATGGCAGCTGTGGTTGACTTTCCAAGATGACATCTGTTGCTGATTTTGCAAAGCAAAATTCCGTGGTTGTTTTTTCTTTCTTTTTTTTTTTTTACTGTTGTCATTGATATGTTTCCAATCAGTGAGAACTTGACCTTTCAAATCTGTAGCTAGCTAGCTTACTGCCTTCCTCATACCCCTCCCCAAGGCCCCAATTCTTAACAGCTGCCAGCAGAAAGTCCGTTTGGCATAGACGTGTAAATCTCTCAGGGAACCTTTTTAGTCCTGGTTAAGGAACTTCAGACTTCCAGATAGATGCCTGGAGGAGGGACTCCTGGGCAAGGGAATGCACCAAAGTTTAAGGTCAAGGCCACGGAGCCACTACTGAAAGTAGACCCTAAACATATCCTTTAGGAATTGGAGAAGAAAAAGGCAGAGCAAAAATACTGAATTAACATATACTTTTTATTCTTACCTAAAATTTACCCCTAAGGCTTATTTGTGGAAGTTTAACTAACCCGTTCATTGTTGTTTTCTTTTCTAACAATCATCCTTGTGTACGTCCTGAAATGTCATCTTTTCCATGTGCTCTTCTTATTACTTTTGTCTATGGAACGTATTTCATATATTGTTTTCTTATTTCTATTTTTTTAATGTAAAGGATTCTCCATCAGTGAACGTTGTAGAAGGTGTATCTGATGCAAAAGATGGGAGTAAAAGTGATGATACTCTTTATAAGGGAGACTGTGAGGAGTCATGTGATGATAAAATTAAAATCACGCGAGAAGAAAAACATTTTATGTGTAGTAAGTATTAAAAATGACAATTATAAGGGTATATGGTTTATTATTTCTAGGGTATACATAGAAGGAAATAGACCTTAGCTTTGTTTGGGTCATTTTTTAAAAATTTAAATTCAGTTAGTGTCCTTAGTTTCACATGTGGTGTCCAGTAATTCATCAGGTTGTTTGACACCCAGCATGTCACGTGCCTTCCTTGATGTGTTTGGGTCATTTTATATATATCTTGATCACCCTAGGCCGGAGGTTTTCTGTGTTCGGCACATAGTAGGTGCTTAGTAAATATTCGGTGAGTGAACGAATGGATCCTTCTAGTATGCAGCCTTGTGGCGCCTGCTGCCCGAAGAGGGCAGAGGGCACCGAGGGCATGTTGTCAATCTGCCAATGGCTATTTTCAATCTTCCCTCTGAGCCACTAGGAAATTGCACCTTAGTTTTGAGGAGGAATAGCTGCTCCAATAGGTCTATTACAAATTTATGTAGCAAACCATAAAAACAGACGTGCAAAGTCTTGATTTTTGTTTAAAACTATTCAGCAACAGTGCAGGAGTTTCCAGGGTCTATTACCTGTGAGATGTAAGGAAAGGGATCAGCGAGGGAGGGGCTGATGCTCCAGGTTAGCTCCTCCAGGGGGCACGTCCTAGGCCAGACTATGGGCTGCAACACCAGCGTCTGTGGTTTCTCAAGCTGGTGATTGAGTGGCCCGTGTGTCCCTTAGGACAGATGTCTGCATCCAGGAAGAATCTAACAGAAAGCGAGAGACGGAAAGTACAAAAGAGGGATGAAGCTGGGGTATTAACGATTCTGCTGTGAGAGTGAAAATCAGGAACACAGAAATAAAGTCATCATTCAATACTATGTAGATGTTTTTGTTGTAAAGGACATTGTCACCATGACTGGTCTGGGAAGTATGAGTCCTGGATGCACAGTTCCCGATTTTGAGGGTTGTGTTGGAGAGAACGTCTTTGTGGAGGAAGTACAGGTTGAATATGCAGGACGTCACAGCAGCTGCTCTCCAGTGTTCGGGTTACCTGTACTGCTCTGGCAGCCCTTCGAAGAATATGATTGCTTTAAAATAAAAAATATTTTAAAAAAGAAAAAAATATAAGAAATATACAGTAAAAGTTCAATCAGAAACCAACCAACTGAAACTTCCGCTAAGACTTAGTATTGGTGTGTATTTGTGTTTGCTATTTGTTTGTGTGAAAATATACAGCATTAATACAACAAATTAAGAGAAAGATTTATCTTGAAAATTAACTTGCATGATATGGATTATTGCTTTTTATGTTCTTATGTGGTAAGAATTGAGGACTTCTAGACCTCCTGCTTTTCTATCTCTCATCTTATGAAGTGAGAATTAATATTCAGAATGTTGTCCCTCTGTTACATGAGCTTAAATTACCTGGGGGTCAACTAAACTATTAGAACAGTTTCATTAAAATGTACTAAGACAGTTGTTGTCTTTGTTAATCCCTAGTTAACTGAAAATTATACTAACTGGAGTCTTTAGATAGACTGAGATATTATTGTGTCTACATATTTATCCCAAATCACATAAAATTCAGGATCTTTCTTTCACTCTATTCTCTCTAACAATCTAATATTTAGCAAACACTTTTCATTATGATTTAAGGAAATTTGCAAAATTCTATTGTTTCCTACACCCGGAGTACCAAAAAGCTGCTAAGAAATATGATGGACGAGCAACAGAGTTCCTTGGATTATTTATCCAATCAGGTACGGATCCGCGCGGCCGCCTTGTTGGGGCACCTGTTGCCCACGCGGGTAGAGGCCCAGCGGCTTCATTCCGTAGCGCGTTCAGGTGCGGACGCGCGTTCAGGACCTCCTCCGGTAGAGGCATGGCAGCAAGGCTCAGGCAGACAAGGAGCGCGTGCTGGGAGGAGAACAGGCAGACGCAGGCCCTAAGTGGCACCCCGCACTCCCGCCCGGAGCCCCGCCAGGTGCGAGCAGGGAGCTGGCAGGGCCAGGCTGGGGGCCTGCAGGGCTGTTCACCGGCCGGGGCGGGGCCGATGCAGGCCACACCTGCAGGGACCCTGTTGGCTTTGCTGCAGGGACGGGGCCACGGTGGAGGGCAGGGGGCAGTGGGCATTATTAGAGACTGCAGAGCTGGGGTTGTAAGAGGCTTGGGGAGACCCGCTGTAGAATTCAGCGGAAGGGGTTTTGTTTGAGTATAGAATGCTTAAAGGTGCGCGCGTGTGTTCAGGTTAACGAGCTCACGAACCGGGTCCTCCTCCTGACCACAGAAGTCCTCCGAAGGCAGCTGGAGCCTTTTCCTCACAGGCCGGTGCAGTCGCATGGTGAGAACTTTGCTGTTTCAGACTTTTCCCAGTCGCCTTTAATTGCTTCAGGTTCCCCTGCGGGCCGGGCGCCTTTGGAGGACGTGTTTACAAACACAGCTTGCTTTACAGACAGACTGGGGGGTCCTACCTGGCGGGGCAGACTCCAGTCCCAGCAATGAGCTGCCCTCAGCTGGGAAGGTTTTCCAGCTCCTGAAGGCCCGCGCTCCGCCAAATGTACCTCCCGGGCCTGTTGCAAACCCCACGGTTTCAGGGACGTCCTTCCTGGGCTGACCTACGTTTCATTCATGATTAATCTTTAGTTAGAAGAAGGTTTCAGGTTCTTTCCACGTGTACAGAGTATTTTTGATCTGTTGCAAGTACTTCAGATTGGAACGTAAAATTTGAAAAGAAAAAGAAACTTAAAGACAGAAATGAAGTGGCATGTAGAGCTTTTTGTATAAAAATATAGTCTAGTAACTCCTAGAGGCCTGGGTTTCTAAGGAAAATACTGTATCATATCTTATAAATATGAATTTCTAACAGAGCTCCGAGTAAGTAAATATTGTTGAGGGCTAGGGTATGGTCTTTCTTCTTCACAATGGGAGGAAATAAACAATTGCTGAGAATCTCCTAAGTGTCAGGTGTGAGACGGGCACGTCCACGTGTTATTTTATTTTACATTGGTTTGTTGTGCCTCATGTAGTTAGGAGTGTGGGCTCCGCGGCTGAACGCCCGCCTTCCACTGCCTCGTGCAGTTTCCGTACCAGCAAACCGGCGAGAGCACTTACCTCCTACAGTTGTTGCAAGGATTACATGACCAAGTGCCGGAAAAGCTCTTCAAATATTGCCTGGTGCACCGTAAGAGGACGTAAGGCTTTGCTCTGAGGATGGCCATCATCAGAGGAGGAGCACGCAGCCCAGAAAAAGCTAAAGAGTATGCTCACGTTTATTTGGGTGGCGATGGGGCAGCGTGTTCCCACCCAGACCAGTCCTCTGCTGTGAACACCTACCCTGTCTCTGAGTGTGAGCTTCTGTACGAATGTCTCTTTGCAATTCAGAACAAAGGCGACAAATCCATGTCTTCTGGAAATAAAGAGGGAAGCAAACAATGGTTAACAGCTGATTTTTGCTACATAACATTTTCTGAATAAGTACTGTTTGCCAGGCACTGTGCTTTCTATTATGCCCCACTATGTAATCGCCAGAGTAACACGGTGAAGTAGATAGTACTGTTACAATGAGAGAAGAAGAAAGGGGGTTGCGTGACCTAGCTACGGGTTCTTGGGTTCTTGGCTGAGAAGGAATAGGGCTCAGACTCTCACCCAGGCTTCTGGTTTTGGAGTCTCAGGCTTGCATGTGTTTGTTTCTCCGGGGGGGGGGGGGTCTCAGGCTTGCATGTGTTTGTTTCTCCGGGTAATTAGCAGTGTAAGGGTTGCGTTTATTTTATTACATTTATAAAAGATACTACAAAGTATCTTAGAAGAAAATGTAATATCCATATCTGCATAATATGCTTACAGTCCCCTGGGAAGTGGGATCTTTGCAGAGGATGGTTACCAAGTATTCCAGTCCTAACTGTTGGCTTCAGAGCAGGCTCTGGCCTCAAGCACAACTTCTTCTTGGTGGAGAGAGTGATTTCCCTGTCCTCTCACTTTGGCCCTTATAATGGCAGTTGCCCTGTAGTGTCTCTGAAGTTTCCAGTGGTCAAGGATGTGTTACTTTCGTTAATCTATGTATTCATTTAGGTTTCTCCTTCCCATTCATATAGATTTTCTTTACACATTATGCCCCCAAAAGAAGGCTAGATTCTGGAAAGAGCATTATTTATTGGGTGAGAGAATATGTAACTATAAAGTATATTAAATAAATGTGGCTTCCAAATGAACACTAGAGCAGTATGGAGTGCTAATCACTGACAGCGATGTTATTAGGGAAGGGTTATAGCAGAATGAATTCCTTAATCCCATTTCTTGCATGTATTTTCTCCTGATTTCTAAAATTAAAATCACTTTTCATTTCTAAGAAGTTAAAATCATCATATCATTAATGGAAATTATAATTTCAGATAGCACTGTCAGATCTCTCCAGTAAACTGATTAAGTCTTAAATGTGTCCTTGAAAATACCCTAACTCACTGATTTTACCTTTCTAGGTTTAGATTGCACGGATATTAAAGATACCATTGGTTCTGTCACCAAAACCCCAAGTGGTTTGTATATAATCTACCCGGAAGGATCTAGTTACCCGTTTGAGGTAAAGTTTTCCCTTTATCATATGAAACAGGATAAGCAGCCAATCTACTTACTTAACATAAAAATTCAATTGTTTCAATATTTTTTTCTTGAAATTTTTCATACAAATGGGTAGAAGTTCCAGTTGCAAATTTCGGTTTTCTGAAATTCTTTGCCCAAACCAGGAACCTGTGAAACAGCTTGAGAGTCTTTCCCTTTTCCGTTTGAGGTTACATGTTTGTGCTCTTTGAAAGAAATCCATTCGATGTTAAGAGCTTATATTGTCTTCGCAGTAGGCAGAAGCGTGCACACAGATGCTTGCTTTAACTGCTGTGGGTATCAGAAAGTAGCGCGCTCTGCCACGGAACGTGCTACAGGAACTTTGATTTCCCTTTCTACACCTGAAGGTGACAAATGATTTTATGTGATTATATAAGACATTAATAATTATAAAAAAACCTTTCACTAAAGTTTGAGACAGATTGAGAAAATCTTTTTTTAAATCAAAACCATTTTTAAATTAAAACCATCTAGATAAATTACCCTCCTGTCTACCTTTAGTAGTCCTGTGTTATGCTTTCTGGAAGAGACTTCTATCAGAAATTACTGCTATTGACAGGATATATATAATATCATAGTATAATATTAACCTAGTAGTACATATACAATAACATGGAAATTATATATAATTTTTCCCGATTACTCTTTGATGCATAAGGAAGTTTATGATGTTACTATCACACCTTACTGATAATCTCATCACACAATAAAGTGATTTTTCTCCTGAGTAGATACTATCACTTTCTCATCCCGAAATTACTAAATTATTTATTTATTTTTTTTACTACTGTTATTTTATCATCTATTGCTAACATGTCCAAAAATTGGGGTTTAGGTGGGAAATAATTTTAAAATTACCTTACCTGCTTCACCTACAGATTCAAAAATGAGCCTGAACATAGGTGGAGAGGGAAGGCTTCTAATTTTGTCAAGAGTGGGAAGCACAATTACCTTTCCAAGTCGTGGGAAGGTGTTATTCCCTTGCTTTCTCCACACTGCCTTTCTGCGTGTGCAGGGAGTTTCAGATGAGGATGCTTGCTTGGGTTTTCTTCCCAGGTCGCTGCTCTGGGTCTGTTCAGCTGTCCTCTCGGGGCATGACAGGTGCAGCCAGAAACACCTGGCGAGGTGGGGGCACAGGTCACACTTTCCGCGTGCAGCTTCCAGTCTGCACACGGGCCTCTGGGCTGTTGGAGGAAAGAGTCATCAAAGACAGGTGCACGGGCATATTTAATGGACGCTTAAAAAAGCAGTGTTTTCACTGAAGGGAGGGGTTAATCTGCAGATACCTCGTTCTGCTACAGCAGACCTGGTAGCATTACCGCTCACCTGAAAAATACCACAGCATTGAGGAATACGAGAGTCCGACGCTTCGCACGTGAGCGGATGGCTGCCCCAGGGACTGCGATCCGCTTAACCACGCGTTTGCTTAAAACACACAGCATTATTTCTAGAGATTTACATCTGAATACACGAGGCCCACACAGCTACACTGGAACTTTCAGTGGGACACTCTTCCCGTTCTCTAGGCTTAAGGGTGAAGCATGAGTTTTATGTCAACAAATGAAGAGGATGGTATATAATTGTTGCCTTTTCTGGGTCTGTTTTAGGTAATGTGTGATATGGATTACCGAGGAGGTGGATGGACTGTGATACAGAAAAGGGTTGTGGGGATCGTTGATTTCCAAAGGCTCTGGTGTGATTATCTGGACGGATTTGGTGATCTATTAGGTCGGGTTTTAGTTCTCCTCTTTTTTTTTCTTCTTTTCGGCATGAGACCTGTGTACTGTACCTCTGTTGGTCACATCATTAGCAAAAACAGCATATCCTCTCTCTCAAATTACTTTCTCTTCATTCATATTACTTAGAACGAGTGGGTCTTCATCTGGGATCTGGAAATCCTTATCTTTAGATTGGCACTGAGTGAAAGTTCTAACCTGGGTATTTATTAAGTATTTACTCTGTCCCTAGCAGAATTCCAGTAGATGCTCAACAACTATTTGTAGAATGAAACACTGAATGTGCGGGCTGGGCTGTCGTGAACCTTGAAATGTTTGCCCTGAGCGGTATGTCTCTGAGAAGGGAGAATTGAGGAGCACGGCAGTACAAATTCAAATGACATGACCTGGGAGTAATAGTTTATAAAAATATCAGTAAAACTCCCTGTGCTCAACAGTTGAAAACTGTACACCCCGAGGGCATTGTGAAATCTGTTCACATTATGCCGCATGACAGCATTACTTTCGCCGGCAGATGGGAATGCCAGGACGTCCGAACACTGCAGAATTTTAACTTTGTTGGAAGTTTTGCAGGAGATTTTGACCACTTTCATGCTTAAGTGCTTATCTTAAGTTACTGTTCTAATTTAAAAGCTGTAACATCCTGTAATAACATCATCCAAGGATTTAGTAAGCGGCGGTGTCAGTTCTCTTGCTACAATCCCAACTGCACGCTGATGATTTTAGAAAGGACGTCACATGTCATAAAGTGTTACGAAGGCGGCTGGTTAAGATACTGTATGTTCTCAGTGTTGCCTCTAGTTTTCTGGCAAGGGCTACTCCTGATTCCAGTAGCCCTAGATCTACGGGCTCTGAATTGTCATCCTTCTCACTTGATGCTTATTTCTAAGGAGAAATTATCTGAGTTTTGAGACAAAGGTCTTCAGGCGGGTGTATCTCAGGGGAACAGGCTGTACTGGGTATAGTTTAAAAAATAAATTTGGGGGGCGCCTGGGTGGCTCAGTGGGTTGGGCCGCTGCCTTCGGCTCAGGTCGTGATCTCAGGGTCCTGGGATCGAGCCCCGCATCGGGCTCCCTGCTCAGCGGGGAGCCTGCTTCCTCCTCTCTCTCTGCCTGCCTCTCTGCCTACTTGTGATCTCTCTCTGTCGGGTAGATAAATAAAATCTTAAAAAAAAAATAAATTTGGGATTAAGGAAAATACATTGTAAACTCAAATTAGGGGTTGAGTAGAGGGGCAAGATGGTGAGGACACGTATAATGGAGTGTCATGGACTGGAGACACCAAGTGGTCCATTCCCCTTCCTTCCTGTCCTTCAGGGCAATTTTCACTTCCTAGAGGGTGTGCAGTTAGAGCACCCCCGTCAGCCCTGCTGGGGAACTTGGCATCTTACCCAGGGTTTCCACGGTGTGAGTGCTGGTCACTCCGCCCCTAACTCTCCGGAGTTGGCTTCCTCTAGACCTGTCCTTCCTTCAGTCACTTCAGGATTCATTGGGGGAAAGTATGTCAGAGCAGAGGCCATGCCAAGGTGTGCAGGGGGAGGTCCAAAGCCCGAGGCTAGACCATGCAGGGAGCATGCTGTCCCAGCCCCGAGTTTCCTCATTCTTCCTGGAACGCATTTTCATTCACCACATGACATGACATGATTATTCACTGGAAGCCGACACGCTGCATTCTAGCAAAGACGCTTATGCACAGGGCATCGTTCTGAAAGACAGAAAAAGTAATTTCAACTGAGCGTGTTCAGGAAATGTTTCCTTAGGAGCTGCTGATTTGGAGGTTGAAACTCAACATTTATGGGCACACATCATTTTGTTACCTGCCATAATATTTCAACAGCTTTTTTGTTGACATACCTTGAGGTAAATCTTGAAATTTTCATTTGTCAATAAGTGGATTTTTGAGTTTATTTTGGTGAGATAAAAATAAAATAGTCTAGTTACCCCAGTCTGGTAAAGTAGAGTGGGAGGACTGTATGTGTGTGCGTGTGTACATACACACATAATACATATGCTTACATATACACGCACACATTGCGTACTGCATGTATACATGCATATGGATGCATATACAAATACATATATATCTATATATATTTTGTAAATTAGGCAAACACTGATAACTTGAGCAAGGACCATCTAGTCTCTCAAATAATCTAGGTGAGCCACTTCAGTGTTAAAAACTGAACAACAGCAAACACTCAATAATGAAGGTTACTCTAAGTTGTATTAAAATATGTAAAATCCTTTTTTTTTAACAGGCGAATTTTGGCTAGGACTAAAAAAGATTTTTTATATAGTAAATCAGAAGAATACCAGTTTTATGCTGTATATTACATTGGAATCGGAAGATGACACCGTTGCTTATGCGTCATATGATAACTTTTGGCTAGAAGATGAAACAAGATTTTTTAAGATGCACTTAGGACGGTATTCAGGAAATGCTGGTAAGTTTTTTATTCCCCAGATCATGCAGGATATTTAAATACAGCTGACTCAGTAACAGGCGAAGACAAAGTAATGCGTTTCTCTTGGTCTAGGACACATAACTGGTAACGAGCAGATTAGAAAGGAGAAAACTCAGTTTTGAAGCCCTGCTGTGACCATTGAACTACCCCATGATTTTGAAGAGCTTCTACTCTTTAAAACTTACTTTCCGTGTGTGGCTGCAGTTGACTTTTTGGGAGAGTGAGTGGGCCAGGCTGGGAAGGAACTGCTGACATTTTCATGTTCTGACAGGCTGGCATTTAGAAATGGTAGAGTGTCAGAGTTGATCTCCGTTCTTCTCACTTTCCAGCTGAAAAACCTGAAAGGTTAAGGGACTTGCCCACGAGTCCCAGCTCGTCACACCTGAGCCAGGGCAAGAAGCCAGGTTGATGGAACAACTAGATTACTGGGTTATTTTCCTCCCACTATACTTTGGTGCATCTACTCATTTCCAAATAAATGTAATTCTTCATGTCAAATTTATGATTCGATGCTGAGATCTTAAATTTGAGTTCATACCAAATTCAACTCTCCTAATTTACTCATCGTGGCACTTGTTTATTGTGTATATTTACAAGTGAGATACGTTCCCAGTTCTTTAACCGAGTACAATACAGTGGGAGGATAAAGAACACCAAAAACTTGGAATACTGAGTATCGACAGAGCTTTGGGGGTTCACAGAGGGAGAGGAGGATCCCAGCTGACTGATCCAGGAAGGGTAGTTTCTAACGAGGAGTAATGTGAAATTCAACGTGGGGAGGTTTTTCAAAAGTAACACTACTGCAGAACTGATTCAGGAAGTGTGGGCCCAGGTGTTTGTATCCACAGACGGAGATGGTGGCATCCTTGTTCTTGATGCCACTGATCTGTACTTGGAAGAAGGGACGGGCTTTCTGGCCAACGGATGTTGGCAAAGACAGCTGCTTGAGCCAAGCACCGAGGGAGGAAAACGGCTGAGCGTGAGGGAGGGCTGGGCAGGCTTGGGGTCCCTGACATCCAAAGGGGGCTTAGCCTTGGGATATTAGGTGACAGTCTGAAATTCCAATCTCAGTATAGAAGGAAAAGTTTCGAGAGTTACAGTGTGTGGTTTTTCATGCTGCATCTGTAAAAGAGGAAAACTCAGTATGGACCCTGTTATGTTAGGAGACGTTTCTGTGGGTTTCTCTACTGGACGAGGGTCTTGAGGATACGATTTATAACGGCACAAGTTTCTTCGTCACAGAGCCCTCTGACTTGCTCTCAGAAAATACTCTGCATTTTCCCAATAAGGTGAAGGGACTTTCAACAGATGATCACGTAATCCAATCGAGATAAAGAAAAGGTGTTGGTAGAACATAAAGATAGAAACACAGATAAAACTGGGGGGGGGTTACGTGTGAACAGGTGCATGGTGGAGGTGAGCTGCACATTTGATTCTGACCTCAGAGCAAAGATAAAAATACGAAATTTGAACATTGGAACAACACAGTTGTTCCAGGAGCACAAATATTCTGGATTCTAAAACATGAGAGAGCTTTCTTTGGGTTCTCAGAGAAAACAGTGTCATGTTCTAAGTATTCTCTCACAGGAAACATGGCAGTGCGTTTTCCTGGGCTGGTTCTTAAAAATGGACCTATGCATTATGTTATATTATATTATATTATATTATAGTATTATTTTTTAAGGATTTTATTTGTAAGTCATCTCTACACCCAATGTGGGATTTGAAAGCACAGAAATTATAGAAATTATTCTTTTCTCTAAATTATTATTTCTTTTTCCTAAATTAACCAAGTCCCATATGACCCTTTCCCAGAGAATGACAGGTTTCTACGGCATCATTTTTGGCCTCACCGATCTGACTCTGTCTCCAGAGCCAAAGTTCTGGCTGGATTGTGATTTTATATCAAATATCCACTGACAGATGCCTGTCCTGCTGCAGAACTCATTTCCAGATTCTGCTATACCGCAGTCTGGAGGAGAGATTTTCGTACGATACGCGGTAGAAAATAACTGAAACCTTAGCTCTAGATGGGAAGCTCTGTAACAACAGGTTGGGTAAAGGTCAGTTAAAAGGACAAGAAGTGCGTCTGAGTGTACTCACGCAAACAAAATCTGTTTTACCCAGGCGATGCCTTCCGGGGCTTCAGAAAAGAAGAAAACCAAAATGCCATGCCTTTCAGCACATCGGACGTGGATAATGATGGCTGTCGCCCCGTGTGCCTGGTCGGGGGTCAGTCCGTGACAAGCTGCAGTCACCTGAGGAACAACACCGGCTGGTGGTTCAGCCAGTGTGGGCGAGCGAACCTGAACGGCATTCATCGCTTCCCCGGAAAACCGCTTGCGGCTGGAATCCAGTGGGGCACCTGGACCAGAAACGACGCACCCGTCAGGATTAAATCTGTTTCAATGAAGATCAGAAGAACTTACAAGCCTTATTTTAAGTAATCTCCTTCCCAACTGTGTGTATTGCGTAGATATTTTTGATAATACAGAAGGGATTTTACATGGTTTCTCTTTTTTACTGTTTCAAACATTTCAGCCAAAATTTGACTATAGATGACATCTAGGTGTTAAGGGTTTAATTAGAAATCTTTATTTTTGTAGAGTTTTATAAAACATGGCTCAATGTATGCTTTTACTACTAAGTGCATTAACAATCCGTAATAAAATTTGTTTTAAGGGAATTTCACCTTGTCCTCCTGGAGTCTACTGTCCTTTCAAAGAATTGTCCCTTCTCTTCAAAGCACACGTACTATAGTAGATGGTTAGGAAAATAGAAGAGAGCATCACAGTTATTTCTGTATTCATTGGAAACACTTAACTTTATAATCCACAGATAATTTCTACTGAAGGCTGATATAAGGTATGACTGTGCAGGCTAATATGTATATCCAGCTTAAAGACTACTATTTCCAGGTGGTTCCACAATATTTTATAGGTAGTAAGAGTTTACCGCACAAAGAAAGTCCTTTTTTTTTCATTTCATTGTGGTTAATAATTTTACTCTAGTTTGCAGTAAACGTACTGCACGTGTAGACCCTTTATATCCTGTGTGAAGCCAGCGGGAATGGCAGCAACTTCACTAAATGAAGAACAATGGAGAAAGCCGCGACTCAGAGGTCTAGAGGCAGCTCTGGGAACAAGCTTGTCCGTCCACTTTTTCCACTGAGTTGGAAAGAGCTGGAGAGGTCAGTCTTCCACGGAACTCCGGCAGGGAACATCCTGAGCCGAGCGCCCATCATTGATGAAAAGACGAGCGAGACAAGAGTCAGCACTGAACTGAAACAAACGTGGTGCAGAGTTAGGGTGACACACCGCGGTGGGACGCGGACTGGGTTAGAAATACATGTGAGGATGTAGGTCAAGGGGAGACATCAGCCCACACAGGGCTGAGCTTGATCAGGATGGAGAATCTGATCTGAGCTCAGGGACGGGCAAAACTGGCAGGGTCACCATGCAAGATGGCTTTCGCGCGACCACCTCTCAAGGCTGCGACCAAGTCACACCCCGGATCTGCACAGGTCAGGTCGCACGTGGGGAGCACGGGTCTCACTGGCCTCCCTGCATTTCCTGGAGGCACCGCTGAGGTTCTGTGCCTCGACAGGGGAGGAAGACGTCTGCTGGGCTGGAGGAACACAGAGCTGAGGGTCCGCTGGTTTGGACATCTGCAGTGACATGAGCTCCAGAAACAAATCTACCTACAGATTCAGGAAATCATTTTGTCACTTAGCTCGCCGTGTCTCATGTGGATGCTGGACCTTGGGGTGCTCGTGGAGACTCAGAGGCACCCTCTCCTTTACCGGCACGGCGAGGTACTGGGGCTTTGCCTGCTCATCCACCGTAAAGGCCGGCAGATTGTGGGAACACTGTGGGTAAACGCAGAATGGAAACACCTGGGCAGAGGTTAAGGGAACGGCAGACCCAGAGAACACCAAGGGATTTTTTTAAAAAGATTTTATTTATTTATTTGAGAGAGAGAAAGTCTGAGTGGGAGGTGGAGGGAGGGAGAATCTGAAGCAGACTCTGCCCTGAGTGTGGAGCCCAATGTGGGGCTCGATCTCACTACCCTAAGATCACGACCTGAGCTGAAACCAAGGGTCGGACACTTAACCGACTGAGCCCCATCAAGAGTACCCTTCTCCGTGTTAACACTGGGGTGTGAGCACTGGAGGTCAAAACCCCTCCAATCCTCTGGGAACACTGGAGGTGAGGACCCCATCTGGTGTGAGCACTGGAGGTCAGGACCCTGTCCCGTGTGAACACTGGAGGTGAGGCCCCCGCCCATGTTTATCTAGGGCTGCAAATGGCAGGATTTCCTTCCGTTTTCAAGTGGCTGGATAACAGCCCATTGTGTACATATACAATATTTTCTTTGGCTACGCATCCGCTGATGGACACTAAGTTGCCGCAGTGAGCATGGGAGTACAGATACCTCTTTGAAGGTGATTTCATTTCCTTTAGATACATGCTCAGAAGCGGAATGGGTGGGTCATATAGCATTTCTATGTTTAATCTTCGGCGGAAACTCCACACTGTTTTCCATGATGGCTGCACGAAGTTACATTCCCGCCAACAGTGCACGAGGGCTCCCTTTTCCCTACATCTCTCCAGCATCTGTCACCTTCTGTCTTTTTGGTAATAGCTATTCTTCACCACTGATTCCATTCCTGGGACTTCTAAGCCTGGGACTTGAAGACAAAGTCCCTCCTCTTCCATCATGGGTGGCACATGTCTCATTTCCTCAATCCTACCTTTTTAAAGATCCAGGCCCTGCAGAACTGTGAGCTCTGGAACCGGCGCCTCAGTGGACTGATAACGTTCAACCCTTCTAGTGGGATGTGGGGGAGATGGTTCCACTTCTGAGCTCTTCCCAGGCTGCCTGGGTCCCTCGTCCTTTCTGTCTTTATTATTCTTTCTGGGAATCCATTCCACTGGCTGTGTACGAGCACTCTCTTCCTGGACGCTAGACGCACCTTCCCAGCAGCCCCCTTTAGGCCGGGAGGAGACTTCCTTCACCACCTTTCATCACATCTGCTTCTTAACCCAAGAAAATGGTTTGTTCTGGGTGGTGGCCGGCAGTTAATGACAGCTTTTCCGAGCCGCGGGATGCCGTTTTGCTCTAATCCTCTCCAGGACTGAAGCTCTGTAGACAAGCAGCTTCTCCAGCTGTGAGCAGGGATGGAGGCCTACGTACTTCCTTTTACTTCAATGCAGAATTTGGAGAATATTTTTTAGAGAGACTTATCCATCCTGTTTGCTGGACATTATGCTAGACCCGAGAGTCTGGCCCGAGCAAGAGAGTTCCTGGCTGTGGTAGTGTGATGTACAAGCAGCTGAGGGAGCAGAGACGTGTCCTGAGTGGAACTTACACAAACTGGGTGTTTGTGGGCTTAACCCCTCCCTGTCTGGCTTAAAGTCTTCTTGACAGGCAGTGGTATGGTGGGAAATGGAAGAGTCTTCTGGTGGCTATGGTTCACGGTTTGGGTAGATGGTGTTCCCGTGGGCACACAGGAGCTAATAACAGTGTTGACTCCTATCCAAGGAGAACTTGGAATTAGTCTTTTTTCAAATAAGAATTTTATCTTCCTGACTTTAAAAACAGTTATTTTTTTTTTTTTTTGTGATTAGAGAAATGTTTCTGTTTGAAATGGAAAGAATCATTTTATTTCTTGCCAGAGAAGGGGCTCTCTCTAGACTCCCACTTGTCCCTCATTTGGTTGGTGCATTGATGGATGACTCCCCTTTGAGTATCCAATGTCTACAACTTTAGGAATTTAAATCATTTGGGGATAAGCTGGAGCAGAGTGTTGGTGGTGAGGGGTATAAAATCTTTGGGCTTCCCAATGACCTCTTCTCTGACGTCAGGGAGAAGCTGTGGGCTGAACCTCTGGTAAACCAGACTGAGAGACACCCATGGCACAGGCAAAAAAATCACCTTATGCCGGTGATAGTCAACAGGGGTCCTGCCAACTGATCATAGCTACAGAGACCGGAACCTACGGAAGGGAGGCTCTAAACTTTGCAAACTTTGCTTGTGAGGGCCTCCGTCTTCAGAATGTACGGCTGGGAGACACTGATCTTAGAAATGTGAGATGTCAGGGTCCTGGCCATGTACTCAAAAATCACGTCGAGTCACCAGCAGGAACAGCAGAGTGGAGAGAACAGGACCGTCAGCCATGGGTAGAGTCTGGCCTGGGATACGCGTCAGGCCATGTATAGTGGCCTTGCACTCTCTTCTGGGAATTGCTGTGCACTCTACTTATGGGTTGATTCTCTTTTCTGAGAAACAAAGGATGGATTGCTCTAAAGCTCCCTAAAGCCTACAACATCTGGCCCCAAATTCTGCATGGAGTTTTTACTTGGAGGGCCCCAGCGGACTGGAACTGTCAGTGGAATGCTTATGAAATTCTCCTGCTGGTTTTGGGCTGCTGGCTGGCTTGCCAGGGAACAGCCCCATTGTGTAAGCCTGCTGCCTTTGTTCCCATTGGGCCTCCTCCTCCCCCAGCTGTCAGAACATCAGAAGGCAGTTAGCACAAACATCTTTCCTAGGCTACAGGGACAACCAGTCTCATGTTCCCCCTTGCGGGGCCGTCTGGAACTGACAGTGGAAGTTTGCTGCAGAGCGGGTTTCATGGTTCCTGTTCATGTGGGTGCTCTGGCCTGGAATTGCCCTTGCTTTCCTTCCGCGGGCAGCCTCCAGCTTGTCTCCCGTCCCTCCTCGTGCCCATGTTCTCCCTAGGAGCTGGCTTGGTAATAACATGCCGCCTGAACGTAGAGCATTAGAGAAAGAGTGTGACATTAGTGAGATGTTCTCCTCATGCCCGTAGGGCTGCTGCTGACTGCTGTCTGGGCTTGGGGTCTTCGCTGGCCCTGAGAGGGCTGTTCCCCAGCCGGGGTATATCCTACCAGGCTTTCATGCACAAGGGTAAAGGGAGTCCCCACTTGATTAAACTTAAATTTTTCTTTCTTATTTTCTACGATGTATCTACAGTTATCAGTCGCCACACCAGGAAACCAAGAGGGGATGTAATTACACATCCTTACCCTGAGTTTCTCCAAGACGTTAGAGATGTTTATACGGTTGAGACATTGCTTTTGATTGATTCGTGACGGAACTGGGGGATAAAGGGGCTTCTGTTTGGATTTTTAAAAAAAGATATTATTTATTTATTTATTTGAGCTGGGGGAGGGGCAAATGGAGAGAGAGAATCCCAAGAAGAGTCCCTGCTGAGTACCGAGCCAAGGCAGGGCTCCATCCCACAACCCGGGTATCATGACCTGAGCTGAAACCAAGGGTCTGATGCTTAACCCAGAAGCCCCCAGAAGCCCCTGGACTTTTTATATATTGTTGGCCAAAGACATCTACTCAATAGAACTTTGAGGAACTGGGGGAATAATCACGTGGTGTCTTTGGGACCCAGCAGGCTTATGATAGAGCAGTCTTG